CTACATCAAAATATCCAGACCAGTGACGGAAGCAGTTTAAAGTGCGATGCTTGAGGTCAGCTCAGCGCTAATTTGCCTGCCAGATTTTCGACGAAAATGTGCCTGTCTCACCAGTGGAAACTCTATTGACTAATTCCAATGGTGACCGACACGGCTGGGTAGAATATGACACATATTCTGGTGATGCATACCTCGAAACTTAAAAGAAGGTGTCTACAACCACTATGTATTGCCAATAAAGACATTCGGATCTGAGACGTGGTCCAAGTACGCTAAAGGTCGCTCAACGAGATATGGGCAAGGCTATGTTATGCGTGATAGACTTCGCAATGTGGACATCCTTAGTAGAACAAGGGTAACGGACATAGCCCAATAGATCAGTAAACTGAAGTGGTATTGGGCTGGTCATTACTCAGCCTCGTACTGATATACAAAGTGTAGGGCGATATTTCACTAGTAGGACATGCAGGAAGTTGAACGATGCTTGGTGGCTCAGGACCGTACTTTGTGGCATTTCAGTGGCATTGCATTTGTGACATTTGAGAAACGTATGTTCTGCTGTGAACTTGTGATGATGAATGTAAATATAAAACATGTACAAAACAAACAAACTTTTAAATTATGAGTTATTAATACATTTTCTTAGCTGACAAAGGTAATGGAACACTTCAGCCACTTTCAGAAAAATTGTTATAAACTACTGCTTAAAAAATAATACAAAAATATTTAAAATTGGTGCTAAATTTATAGCCAAAATATAAAAACGAAAACGACTCGTAAAAGCATTGTTTCGATATTTTTTGCGAATCGTAGGTACATAAACTATACAACACATTAACAAAAAAAAAAAACTAATACGACATTGTTTTTTTTCTGAGTATTTTGTTAAGATTTGACGATAATTACATACAAATTAAAATTAAGAGGAAAACGGTAAATATTTGTACGGTACAAAGCGTAAATAACTGTTAATGGTAAAAGCTATCGGAAACCTTAGAAAAGTCAAAAGTAGAATCTTTAGGAAAACAGTCAGTTAATCCACCGTCGGTCAAGGTCCCGCCAAAAAACTTCGAGATATTTCAAAGCATGATCACCGAGATGGTATGGTTTTTGAATCAATAGATATTGACCTCAATTCATTCGCCTAGTTTATGACGCGATGTTGAGATGAAATAAAGGTCAATCAATGTCATGGGTTTTTGCTGAATTAAATACCCTTTTAAGGCCTCCAAATAGTAAAATAGTGTTTAGAAATTAACATTCTCGATACTGTTTCTAAATCGGCTTTTTATAAATATGTAGTAAAATTACATACTTTACTATTTACACAGCTTTATTATGGTTATGAGTCGAATGTGTCGGCTCGACCGGGGTGGGACCACGTTCTCACAAAATATCAGCGTAAAATAATTAATGCTGCTAGGTTTTGTATGGTGTGTGTACAGAACCGAAGACCCTTTTTTACTGGAAACTAGGCATTCCATCTTCGTCCACAGGGGTGACACGCATCTGCATATTGATTCTTAATTGAGGATGAACGTAGATATCTATGGGTCAAGGCATCCACTTACAATCAAGTAGACTGTGTGCGTTTATCATCCTTATCTCTCTATATTCAGAAATCAAATGCTATCCGTTAGTCTCGTTAAAACTCAAACACGGCTCGACCGGTTTTGACAAAAAAAGATTGTGTCTTTCTGTAGGTTCCCAGATGGCTTAGATTCATATTTGGACCCGATAGGTGGCGCTGTTGGCAAAATTTAGAAATGGCCTATGCGAAGCCGGGGCGCTTTGCTAGTTTTACAAAAAAAAAAAATTCTTAAGCAATAAATAAGTATGACTGCGTTGTGTGGTCTCAATAACAATATTTTAATATATTATAACATAGGCCCACCTAATAAAATTACGTGTCACGTTGTTTGTCCGCGATGGACTCCTAAACTGCTCAACCGATTTTAATCAAATTTGCACACCGTGTGCAGTTTGGTCCAACTTGAGAGATAGGATAGATTTTTTTGCTCATGAGTGACCCACAATTTTTTTGCGAACTTAAGGATATTTAATAGAACATGACAAAGGGTCATCGAAAAGGGCAGAACAACGTCTGATTGGTAAGTTAGTATATATATATATATATATATATACGAAATTTATTTTCTATTTTTGTTATTTCTCGTCATTGTAAAAATATTTGAAATAACAGAAAAGAAAAAGTCAATGGCGTTCAAGACCATTTGCGTTTAACCTATTTACTGGAATGTGTATTATTGAAACGCTTCCTTGGCAGGCAACGTGGCATACAGTTCCATCTTTTAAAGAAATGCTATATACTTGGTTGCTCATCTTGTTAAATGGGCCCTGTAATACTACCTTAGGGAAACATAACAAAGACATATTCTTATTTTAAACCCAACTTTAGCTTTTAATATTATTTATGCTTTATTTTTAGTATTATTAGACAATGCTGCAATATACTATATATAGAAAAATGCAATCTACTGTTGTTAAGTCTCTAAAAACAATTATTGTTTACTAGCTTTTTACCCGCGGCTCCACTCGCGTGGGCTTGAATTTAGAAACATCAATAATACTAATCCTATACCTTTAAAAGATCATTTCTTATAGGTTTCTATATATATATATATATATATATATATATATATATATATATATATATATATATATATATATATATATATATATATATAGGTCTAAATGAGATTTGAGACATGATTTATCGATGAAATTGATTATATTTTATAGCATTAAAAGCTCCGACACCGGTAACCGGACACACTGTATAATAATCACAGAATAACAGCTTAATACGACCATGTTTCGTATGGTGAGTGTACTGGAGAGAGATAGAGAGAACCGGAGACCCTTGGAAACGAGTCATTGCGTCTTAGTCCTCAAGGGTGACAACGTATCTGTATTTTAATACTACTATAATTAATTATGTCTACCATCAGGACCATAGTATACACTTACCATCACTGTGTACTGCGTACTGTGTAGAATGTGTGCTCTTAGTCACCCTTGTTCTATAAAAAAAAGATCCTATAAATTATATCGCAAGGATTTTAGTACAATAACAGTTTTAAGTAGGAATTCTTCTGTCTTTATTCTTAGGTATATAGTTCAAAAATATTGAAATAATTTTATAATACTCGTAGACTTACATCTTAGCTATCTTAGATTTACATCCATGAAACTATTAAATTACGTAAGTAGAATGTAAAATTTACTACACAATTTTCATCTATTAAATAAAATCAAATATGTGCATTAAATCAATCGGTAGGTATACTGGATGATCTTTTACCATCTGGAAAAAATAGAGCGTAACAAGCGAATGGAATAGAAGTCTATGGCACTCATATTATACTTTTTTTTATTTTACATTAAGATATTATGAAACTGATTTATCAATAAATACTACTAATTTGAAACAATTTTTCGGTATAAAAAAATAACAACAAATTTTTGGACTAAATAAATAAATCAAATAAAAACTATCGAAATATACGTAGGTGCACAATTACTAAGTCGTATTTATTGATAGATCAATTCCAAAATATGTAAATGTAAAATTAAAAGATTGTAAAATATCATTGCCATAGGCTTCTATTCCGTTCACCTATTACATCCTATTTTTTCCAAACGCATTTTATAAGTTGATGTTACTCTTATTTTATCTACAATTAATATTCACTTCATGTATACATAATAAATGAATTCGCTTGTAATGTATATAATTTATAACTTTGAATATTTCTAGAGACTACTTCGATTCGAAATATTCATAATAATGTAATAATAATAGAACAACAAGGTGATTGTTTGTTTTTGGTTATATTTATAATTCTAAAGCAAATGAAACAAGGTCTAACAAAAATGTTTATTGAAAAATAGATAAACTCTATATGTACACTCACTTACTAATTTGTTACATTGATAGAACTGGGTTATAACAACTTATTACAATTATTTAATTATAAGACATGTTATAATTGTATGACGAATGGGGATATGAATATGTTTCTGGTTGTGGTGTAGTGTGGTGTGGTTGTGGACAGTCTTCCCATAGCCACCATACAGTTATAAAAACTTCTAAATTAATTAACAACAAAGATATTAATGGAATTGTCAATTTACTTATTAATGTCTTTATTCCGCCTTTTGCGATTAATATCGGCTTTATAATGCCGTTGATCACAAGGTCCTTAAAGCCTTTCATCTCTAGGTTTTCTGATGACGAGCTGGTAAGTAGAGTTAAGACGAAGTCTATCAGGCCACTAGTTTTACCTGCCATCTTCATCGTTACCGGTTTAATTAGACTGGTAAGGTCACTGTCTGGAAATGATAGCTTGGAAGACGGTTCGTGCATAGGCGATAATATTGCATCTTTACTTTCAGACGGCTGGTACAAGGAAGATATAGTTGACGAATAGCTTTCTGGTTGCGGTTGGTACCCATAATGCGAAGGCCGATGATGTAGTGAATTTGCCGGTTCCTCCATATGTTCAGCAACACGAGCGTAATGAAATCTGCTTTCATCGGCATTCGTATTCATTCCATCGGTTGTGTCAATTGTTGTATAATTTGGTAGTGCATGGCCGCTTAAAAAATTCAGCACGTTATCCGAAGATGACTGTCGTCCGTAACTAGCTTGGGGTACATTTTGTTGATACGGTGTATTTTTTCTTATTGGTATATAATGCCCACCTGTTGATGGTGATACGTGAGGAAAAGCAGGAACCTCAAATGATGGAACGAACATTACGGTTTCCCCGACAACATATAAAACACGAAGATAAGAGAACAGCACCACTGTCACAATTGCTTGCGCTGACGGAGTCATTTTCACAAAGAGACTGCTCGTAAGATAATGATTAATTCCATGTACTTAAACATTACAGGTAATGTGTTATTGCCCAGTAAAATACTAACCTAAGCATTATATTGACATACTTTTAGTATTTGTATATTTTCAAGCATCAGCTAATGTCGACACCGGTAGTACATTCCACTGACATACATTTTGCGACCTTGTCTCCAGCTAACATGCTGAGTACGCTTTTAGCGAACGCACTATCTTCTTCTATGTCGTCTATTAGAGAAAACGCTATCGCAGCACCAATATTACTACTCCAACCCGTCTGGGAAGACTTCTGAATCACACAGGCGAATCTTTGTGAGCAATCCGTTATAACTCTTGATTTTAAGCCCTTTTTTTGCTTCTTAAAATATTTAATCATTTTCGTTATGAGTGGCCACAGTAACAGAGTTTTCAAACCCAATTTGGCAATAACCATTACTATTATGGGCAACAATAACAATTTTCCAGCTAATAACTTCACTAACATTATAATTGCAGCTGATAGCACTATTTTAGCGGCGCTCGATAGAACACTGGCGAACGATGCGAGCGTATCTGTTTTTGGACATGAAGCGTGATAACCGGTATCGGAGTACGTTTTTCGAATATCGGGATAGTAATTCGACGAATCCGTAAGCAAATCCAAAAATGGGAACGGTTGAGAGTTTTGTGGAGACACTGTGCTCAATGCATGTTCCTGAGCCGCGGCCCACGATACAACAAAGATGACGACAATGCCCACGAACATGACTAAAAATACTGTTACGCCCCACTAAACTATGTTTTATTTAATACCTCCACCGTAAAATTTTAATTTAAAGCTTTAAGTACGCGAGAATGAGCAATTACCTCGGTACTATTTGACCGGTCAAGGAGAACAGGGTTAGGGCTATTAAATACGTAAGTATAACAAAGAGAAAATAGCAGAATACTTTAGGTTACATCATGCTGTAATAATGACCACTTTTAGACAACAGTAGAATGTAAAAAAACTAAAAAGTTGCAATATATTTTAAGAGTTAAAGAAAGTATTTAAAAGTATGCACCGAGTTACTCACACAAAAGTTTTTTACAGCCTTTATATACGTCCTATAACGACACAGGCCTCCTCTCAAATTGTAAGAGGGCTTAGGGCAAGGAAATGTGGGCAGGGATCAAACCCGGGTGAAGGTAGCACAAAAGTTACATCCAAATAATGTTTTTTATAGATTTAGGGTGACATACGAGCACACAATCCACCTGATGGTAAGTGGACGCTGTGACCCATAGACATCTACATTTCTCCTCGATTAAGAATCAAAGCGCAGATGTCTTGTCACCCCTGAGGGCTAATACCTCGTTTCCAGTAAATAAGGGTCTCCGGATCTCTACACTCACCATATGAAACACATCAGTATTAAGCTGCTAGTTTACGCTGGTATTCTGTGAGAGAATGGCCCTTCCCTGGTCGAGCCGACCCATTCGTACTACAACCATAATATATGTAACTGTAGCGTGGCTCTACCACGTATGAAAGAGATCGTCTAATTTGAAACAACACGCGCTTCTCTTGCATATTTGGTAGATATATATATTTATTATTTGAAGTGCTAAAATTTAACTAAAACACTATGAAAGAGGCGAACAGATTTTATGATAGGTATTTTTACATTGCTGAACATGGGGCTCCCCCGTAGATTGCCTCATATGGGGATTTTTGCCATTGTGGCCACGCTTGGCAAACAGATGGGCAACCGCAGTATTTAATTTTAGTCGTTGGTAGGAAAACGCTGCTGCCTATATCTATAGATTTCTTTCTCTCGGTCACCCATTACGACACTCATGGCATGATGTGAGGCAAAGGGTATTCTTACACCGCCACTACACGGTAATGTGAAAAATCTACCAAAATACAAGGGATACGCGTGCAGTTTTAAAATAGATCGTCCATTCAGTGCGTATATATGCAAAAACATACCCTTGTACATACACACATGTACCCATGAATACGTTTAACGTTCCCACCAGCCTTTTTTATTCACTGTTAGGCAAAAGCGGCCCCTTTTTACTTGAAAAGGGATTCAATCTTAGTCCTCACGGGTGATAACGCATCTGCATTTTGATTCGTAATGGAGGATAGATGTAGGTGGCTATGGGCCACAGCAACCACTTACCATCAGGTGGACTGTGTGCTCGTTTGTCATCCTATACTATAAAAAAAGCGTTTTATACGCTGCAGCTATAAGGTTGTAGCATGAAGGGGTCGGCTCGCCCTGGGAGGGACCACGCTCTCACAGAATAACAGCGTAAAATAGCAGCTTAATATGCTGTGTTTCGTATGATGAGTGTAAAGAACCGGAGACCCGTTTTACTGGAATCGAGGCATTCCATCTTAGTCTTCAAGAATGACAACGCATCTGCATTCTGATTGAAGTGGTTGCTACACCCATAGACTATAAGTGCAGCAGCCACTTACCATCAGGTGGACTGTGTGCCTGTTTGTCACCCTTATCCTATAAAAAAGCATTTTCAAGATTGCGACACCTGGCACTCAGAAGATATGGGCTCGCCCATACTTAACACGCTGAGTAGACGATTACAGCGATCTGCGCACTACGAAAACCGTTATCATACCATTACAGTCTAAAAAAGTTCATTGCTCCTGCTGTCTGGAGGAATACATTTCAGTTTCGTAAGTTATAACTAGCAATATGCACTGGTTATACATTTTTGGTTTAAGATTCCGTGGTGGGTCGAATAAGAAGATATGTCGCAATACCCGTAATACGATAGAACGGTCAACAAAATATATTATATTTTATTTAGTTATTTTATTTATTATATAATATAGTTTAATTATTTAAATTATCTAGTATCCTACATTATTAAACCCATAGTGTAAGTGATGGTCTGAAACACAGGTACTCAATCTAGTTCAGGCAGGTAGCTAATATTATAAACTTGACTTTACAATTTTTCCTTTATAGATTCTACATTATTAAGCTACAAATAGTTTTAATTTTTAATATTGCATGTTATTTTTATTAAACTTTTACTTTTTTTATTTTAAACATATTTGTTCCTGTATGTAAACATATGTAATTGGAAATGAAATAAAAATTATTTATTAATTATTTATTGGGGGTCATTGTAGAAGCGTGCTCGTCGCGACCCCTGCCAGCCCTTTTCAGGGCTGCAATTCTACACAGCTGCGAACCATGCAAACGAGGGTTAGGGCGTCCCCCCCAAGGCGACGCACACCAGCTCGTCCCCATTGGTGTGGAATGCAGCGCGCAAAGCGGCGATGGGGACCGCCACCCGTCACGCACAGCCCGACACGGCGGAAGGTGGAGGACGGAGTGCAGAGTTGGCACGTGGAATGTTAGAGGGGGCATGAGAGATAAGACGAATGAGTTGATCGAAATAATGAAAGAAAGAGAATTAGATGTCGTGTGTATGTCGGAGACCAAACGGAAAGGCAGTGGTACTGAAGAGCTCCCTGGCGGGACGTTAGCTATATGGTCCGGAGTCCCGGAAAGCGAGAACGCCTGCCAGGGAGTGGGAGTGCTGTTGTCGTCCCGGTTGGTCGATCTTATGACAGAATACAAGGTTGTGAACTCAAGACTTCTCTGGGTTCGCTTCAAAATGGGACTGACGAAGTTATTCCTTTTGGCTGTTTATGCGCCGGTAGCTTCGTCGTCCAGGGCTGAGCTGGAGGAGTTTTGGGAGAATGTAAGAGAAGTTCTAGATTTGGTTAAGGGAAACGAAAGAACTGTTGTATGTGGTGATTTGAATGGATGGGTAGGTATCACTCGACCAGGATACGAGTCGGTGCTTGGAAATTTTGGCGATAAAAGGGTTAATGATGCTGGCAAGCTTATACTGGCTGTATGCAAGGAAAAGGGTCTTCTTGTGACAAACACTATGTTTAATCACAGGAAAATCCATATGTACACTAGAGAAAGAAAGAATGAGAGAAGTATGATTGATTTGTTCCTGGTGGATGACCGACTGCGAAAACAGGTGATGGATACACGAGTGTTCAGGGGTGCTGACCTGGGAACGGATCATTATCTAGTAATTACTAGATTTAGGGGTTTGTTCGCGGGTTGGCGCTACCGGACGGCAGTAACAGAACCACAGTCGGTCTGTCGCATCCGAAGCTGGAAGCTTCAGGAAGCGGATACTAGGGACAAATATCACACGAGGGTAGCCGAAAAGCTTGACACCATCGATGGCAGGAAAGAATGTGTAGAGAGAACATGGCAGAACCTTAGGGATGGAATGGTAAGTGCAGCGGAAGAAGTATGTGGTACGACAAAAAGAGGTAGTAGTAAAAGAAGAGATGCATGGTGGAATGATGAAGTGAGAGAAGCTGTAAAAAAGAAGAAAAAAGCATGGTTAGACTACTTGGCCTCTAGTAACGATGAGCATATGAGAGAGAAGATGAAAGAAAGATATAAGCTGCAGAAAGTTCATGCGAAAACATTGATTGAGGAAGTACGTGAAAGGTGTAGAATAGAAGCGGACGAGAGGTTGTCGCACAACTTTAGGGAAAACTCCAAACTCTTCTGGAAAGAGGTTGGAAGGTCCCGGAGTGGTGCGACAGCCTTAAGAATGAACAAAGTGCTTTCGAGAACCAATGACGTCCTCTCAGAAAAATCGGACGTCATGCAGCGATGGAGTGAATTTTATAGAGAAATGTATGCGAGTCATGATCTTAGTGAAGGATCCGGGGGTGACGCCGTGACTGGCACGCTAGACACGGACCTCGATGACACTGAGGTCATCAGCATGAAAGAGATTGAACGTGCGATTCGAAGTTTGAAATGTGGTAAGGCTGCGGGACTAGACAGAGTTACTGCTGAAATGGTCAAGTACGGTGGGCCTCGCGTCTGGGACAGCTTCCATCTGCTGTGCAATTTGTGCTGGCGGACGGGAGATGTCCCGGATGATTGGTGATCCGCGGTCATTGTGCCTTTATATAAAGGTAAAGGTTCACATTTTGACTGCGGGTGCTATCGGGCGATGAGCTTGACCAGTTTAGCAAGTAAAGTTTACTCGAAGGTTTTGACACGTAGGATGCAAGAGAAATCGGAAAGATTCTTATGGGAGGCACAATGCGGATTTAGACCTGGAAGAGGATGCACGGATCAAATGTTTTCTCTCCGCATGATCACGGAGAAGCTTCTGAGTGTTCATCAGAAGATTTTCTGTGCTTTTGTGGATCTGGAGAAAGCATTTGATAAGGTTATAAGGAAGAAAATGTGGGAACTGTTGCCGGGATATGGTGTGGATGGTCGATTGTTAAGGGCTGTGCAGTCACTTTACTATGACTGTAAAGCCTGTGTGCGGGTAGGGCATGACCTGTCACCCATGTTTAGCGTCCAAGCGGGCGTAAAACAGGGTTGTGTCATGTCTTCCTGGCTGTTCATACTGTATCTCGACAGCTGTTTACAGAAGCTGAAAAATAGCTGTTTGGGTGTGAAATTGGGTCACATAAAAGTTAATTGTCTGCTGTATGCTGATGATGCAGTGCTTATTGCACCATCAGAAGCAGAACTGCAGGCATCAGTCACGTGTATGAAAGAGGAATGTGAAATTAAAGGTCTCCGTTTGAATGCTAATAAAACTAAGGTTCTGGTATTTGAAAAGGACGAAGAGAGAACGAAATGTGAAATATGGGTAAATCAGGAATGTCTAGAACAGGTAAATGAAATTGTATACTTGGGGAGTGCTTTCAGCCGGGATGGAAGATGTGATTTAGAT